GGGAGTAGACGGTTCCACCCTCGCTCCATTGATAATTTCAAAAGTAAATATGGTAGAAAGATAGGTTGGGAGTCAGTGCAGTAAACAACCGCAGACTGGCATGCCGGCGTCCAATATTTGTAGCTCGAGTCTGAAGGTACAAATAGTGGAGTACAAACAGGTAAAACTTGCACGAGCGCAAAACAGAAGCGCGCGCGCGCCCGATACTCCTCAACGCTAGTTAACGAGCCACATAAACATTGCTGCTAAGAGCAATGTTGGGGCTTTTATCTCAACGGAAGTGACCGTAGCTCATGTTGCTGGTGGGGCTCCACCACCCCCCCTTGTTCACCCCAGCTGTGTTAGTCCCTCTTGCTCACTACACCTGTGTTCCACTCTTGCTCACTACACCTGTGTTCCACTCTTGCTCACTACACCTGTGTTCCACTCTCGCTCACTACACCTGTGTTCCACTCTTGCTCACTACACTGTGTTCCACCCTTGCTCACTACACTGTGTTCCACTCTTGCTCACTACACCTGTGTTCCATCCTTGCTCACTACACCTGTGTTCCACTCTTGCTCACTACACTGTGTTCCACCCTTGCTCACTACACTGTGTTCCACTCTTGCTCACTACACTGTGTTCCACTCTTGCTCACTACACAGTGTTCCATCCTTGCTCACTACACTGTGTTCCACTCTTGCTCACTACACTGTGTTCCACTCTTGCTCACTACACTGTGTTCCACTCTTGCTCACTACACTGTGTTCCATCCTTGCTCACTACACTGTGTTCCATCCTTGCTCACTACACTGTGTTCCACTCTTGCTCACTACACTGTGTTCCACTCTTGCTCACTACACTGTGTTCCATCCTTGCTCACTACACTGTGTTCCATCCTTGCTCACTACACTGTGTTCCACTCTTGCTCACTACACTGTGTTCCACTCTTGCTCACTACACTGTGTTCCATCCTTGCTCACTACACTGTGTTCCATCCTTGCTCACTACACTGTGTTCCACTCTTGCTCACTACACTGTGTTCCACTCTTGCTCACTACACTGTGTTCCATCCTTGCTCACTACACTGTGTTCCACTCTTGCTCACTACACTGTGTTCCACTCTTGCTCACTACACAGTGTTCCATCCTTGCTCACTACACTGTGTTCCACTCTTGCTCACTACACCTGTGTTCCACTCTTGCTCACTACACTGTGTTCCACTCTTGCTCACTACACCTGTGTTCCACTCTTGCTCACTACACTGTGTTCCACTCTTGCTCACTACACCTGTGTTCCACTCTTGCTCACTACACCTGTGTTCCACTCTTGCTCACTACACAGTGTTCCATCCTTGCTCACTACACTGTGTTCCACTCTTGCTCACTACACTGTGTTCCATCCTTGCTCACTACACTGTGTTCCACTCTTGCTCACTACACAGTGTTCCATCCTTGCTCACTACACTGTGTTCCACTCTTGCTCACTACACTGTGTTCCATCCTTGCTCACTACACTGTGTTCCACTCTTGCTCACTACACCTGTGTTCCACTCTTGCTCACTACACTGTGTTCCACTCTTGCTCACTACACTGTGTTCCATCCTTGCTCACTACACTGTGTTCCACTCTTGCTCACTACACCTGTGTTCCACTCTTGCTCACTACACCTGTGTTCCACTCTTGCTCACTACACCTGTGTTCCACCCTTGCTCACTACACCTGTGTTCCACTCTTGCTCACTACACTGTGTTCCACCCTTGCTCACTACACTGTGTTCCACTCTTGCTCACTACACCTGTGTTCCACTCTTGCTCACTACACTGTGTTCCACTCTTGCTCACTACACCTGTGTTCCACCCTTGCTCACTACACTGTGTTCCACTCTTGCTCACTACACCTGTGTTCCACTCTTGCTCACTACACTGTGTTCCACTCTTGCTCACTACACCTGTGTTCCACTCTTGCTCACTACACCTGTGTTCCACTCTTGCTCACTACACCTGTGTTCCACTCTTGCTCACTACACCTGTGTTCCACTCTTGCTCACTACACCTGTGTTCCACTCTTGCTCACTACACCAGTGTTCCACTTTTGCTCACTACACCTGTGTTCCACTCTTGCTCACTACACCTGTGTTCCACTCTTGCTCACTACACCTGTGTTCCACTCTTGCTCACTACACCTGTGTTCCACCCTTGCTCACTACACAGTGTTCCACTCTTGCTCACTACACTGTGTTCCACTCTTGCTCACTACACTGTGTTCCACTCTTGCTCACTACACCTGTGTTCCACTCTTGCTCACTACACCTGTGTTCCACTCTTGCTCACTACACAGTGTTCCACTCTTGCTCACTACACATGTGTTCCACCCTTGTTCACTACACCTGTGTTGCACCCTTGCTCACTACACATATTCTCGCTCCTTACACAATATACCTGTATTCCTTCTCTGCACAATATAGCTGTATTTTTCATCCTTGCACAATTCAGCTCTACTCTCATACACAGTTCATCTGTAATGGTCACTTACACACACACACACACACAAAAAAAAAAATAAGGCAAGAAAGAGAAGGGTGGGCAGACTGCATATTTCTGGATTGTCAGAAAGCCTTTGATACAGTGCCACACAAGAGGCTAGTGCGAAAGTTGGAGGCGCAGGCTGGAGTGAAAGGGAAGGTACAAGCAACAGGAGACAACGAGTCAGTGTGAGGGGTGAGGTCTCAGATTGGCGAGACGCTACAAGTGGAGTTCCGCAGGGGTCAGTCCTTGGACCTATACTGTTTCTGATATATGTAAATGATCTCCCAGAGGGTATAGACTCGTTTCTCTCAATGTTTGCTGATGATGCAAAAATTATGAGGATTGAAACAAAGGATGATAGGAGGCTACAAAATGACCTAGACAGACTGAGTGAATGGTCCAACAAATGGCTGTTGAAGTTCATCCCGAGTAAATGTAAAGTAATGAAACTAGACAGTGGAAACAGGAGGCCAGACACAGGATACAGAATAGGAGGTGAAGTACTTAATGAAACTGACAGAGAGAAAGATCTAGGAGTTGATATCACACCAAACCTGTCTCCTGAAGCCTACATAAAAAGAATAGCGTCTGCGGCATATGCGAGACTGGCTAACATCAGAACAGCCTTCAGGAACCTGTGTAAGGAATCATTCAGAATCTTGAATACCACATATGTAAGACCAATCCTGGATTATGCGGCCCCAGCATGGAGGCCGTACCTTCTCAAGCACAAGACGAAGCTGGATAAACTTCAGGGGTATGCCACTAGGGAAGTCCCAGAACTAAGAGGTTTGAGTTACGAGGAAAGGCTGCGGGAAATGCACCTTACGACACTGGAAGACAGTAGAGTAATGAGAGACATGATCACTACCTACAAAATCCTCAGGGGGAGTCGACAGGGTAGACAGGGATAAACTATTCAACACTGGTGCTACGCGAACAAGGGGACACAGGTGGAAACTGAGTACCCACATGAGCCACAGGGACGTTAGAAAGAACTTTTTCAGTGTCAGAGTAGTTAACTAATGCATTAGTTAATGCATGGAATGCATTAGGCAGTGATGTGGTGGAGGCTGACTCCATACACAGTTTCAAGTGTAGATATGATAGAGCCCAGTAGGCCCAGGAATCTGTACACCAGTTGATTGACAGTTGAGAGGCGGGACCAAAGAGCCAGAGCTCAACCCTCGGAAGCACAATTAGGTGAGTACACACACACACACATGAGGATTGTAGGATCCACCAAGAGGACTTGAACAGGTTGCAGAGATGGTCAGAGAAATGGCTACTAGAGTTCAACACAAGGAAATGTAAGGCGATAGAAGACCAAAGGGACAGTACACAATGAAGGGGAACTGTTTACCTGTGACGATGCGAGGAGGAGACCTGGGCGTGGACGTAACACCTTATCTAATGCCTGAGGCACATATAAATAGGATAACGACAACAGCGTACTCTACACTAGCAAAAGTTAGAACATTCAGAAACCTAAGTAAGGAGACATTTAGGGCGTTTTACACTGCCTACGTGAGGCCAGTTTTAGAGTATGCCGCCCCATCATGGAGTCCCCACCTGAAGAAACACATAAGGAAACTGGAAAAGGTTCAGAGGTTTGCAACGAGACTCGTCCCACCGTTACGAGGGATGGGGTATGAAGAGCGCCTGAAGGAACTGAGCCTTACGACACTAGAAAAAAGAAGGGAGAGGGGGGATATGATAGGAACGTATAAAATACTCAGGGGGATTGACAGAGTGGACATAGACGAAATGTTCACACGGAATAGTAACAGAACGAGGGGGACATGGGTGGAAGCTGAAAACTCACACGAGTCACAGAGATGTTATTAAGTTTTCTTTTAGCGTGAGAGTAGTGGAAAATGGAATGCACTTCAGGAACAGGTTGTGGAAGCAAACTCTATTCATAATTTTAAAACTAGGTGTGATAGGGAAATGGGACAGGAATCATTGCTGTAAACAACCGATGCTCGAAAGGCGGGATCCAAGAGTCAATACTCAATCCTGCAGACATTGTTATCAATGTAGTAAGCGGGAGAATATTAGCGAGGTGACCTGGCGGGTCCTGCAAGCAAGGAGACCTGCATGAAACTTGGGTAAACAATAGCTGTCAGTACGGCCATGAGAGGGAAGAGTGGGTCAAGTATAGGACATATTGGGTAGAAAGGTGAGGAAGAGAGTGAATGGGTGAAGGACAGTGTGATAGTAGGAGTGGGTAGACGAGTGTGTCAACAAGGTTGTTTGGTAGTGCGGTAGTTAGAGCACCATTAGCGTACACGACAGTACCATCGTCCAGTGCAGAAATATAATTCGTGGCCACACCGTGTAATCGTCTCAGTTGCTGGAGCTGTTGACCGTCTTGCTGTTGATAACATCTTCTGCTGAAGGACTTGTCCTGAACTATCTCCCCAATCACCTCACTCCTTATACTCACTCTCGCACTGAAGGGCTGCCTCGCTATGTCACAGTCACTCACCTCTGACTCCAGGGCATAGTTGTATGAGGCACAGTAGAAGTGGGCACAGTTGTATGAGGCACAGAAGAGAGCACAGTTGTATGAGGCACAGAAGAGGGCACAATTGCATGAGGCACAGTAGAAGAGGGCACAGTTGTATGAGGCACAGTAGAAGTGGGCACAGTTGTATGAGTCGCAGTAGAAGTGGGCACAGTTGTATGAGGCACAGTAGAAGTGGGCACAGTTGTATGAGGCACAGTAGAAGAGGGCACAGTAGAAGTGGGCACAGTTGTATGAGGCACAGTAGAAGTGCGCACAGTTGTATGAGGCACAGTAGAAGAGGGCACAGATGTATGAGGCACAGTAGAAGAGGGCACAGTTGTATGAGGCACAGTAGAAGTGGGCACAGTTGTATGAGGCACAGTAGAAGTGGGCACAGTTGTATGAGGCACAGTAGAAGTGGGCACAGTTGTATGAGGCACAGAAGAGAGCACAGTTGTATGAGGCACAGTAGAAGAGGGCACAGTTGTATGAGGCACAGTAGAAGTGGGCACAGTTGTAAGAGTCGCAGTAGAAGTGGGCACAGTTGTATGAGGCACAGTAGAAGTGGGCACAGATGTATGAGGTACAGTAGAAGTGCGCACAGTTGTATGAGGCACAGTAGAAGAGGGCACAGTTGTATGAGGCACAGTAGAAGTGGGCACAGTTGTATGAGGCACAGTAGAAGTGGGCACAGTAGAAGAGGGCACAGTTAAAGAAGATGTAGAAGGACAGGGTACAGTTGTAGACGTATTACGTATTTTATATCTTGTAATCATGTCCCTTCCCTGTTTCATTTTCCTATGTCTCCTACAACTGTGCCCTCCCCTACTGTGTCTCCTCCAACTGTGCCCTTCCCTACTGTGCCCTCCCCTACTGTGTCTCCTCCAACTGTGCCCTCCCCTACTGTGTCTCCTCCAACTGTGCCCTTCCCTACTGTGCCCTCCCTTACTGTGTCTCCTACAACTGTGCCCTCCCCTACTGTGTCTCCTCCAACTGTGCCCTTCCCTACTGTGCCCTCCCCTACTGTGTCTCCTCCAACTGTGCCCTCCCCTACTGTGTCTCCTCCAACAGTGCCCTTCCCTACTGTGCCCTCCCCTACTGTGTCTCCTCCAACTGTGCCCTCCCCTACTGTGTCTCCTCCAACTGTGCCCTCCCCTACTGTGTCTCCTCCAACTGTGCCCTTCCCTACTGTGCCCTCCCCTACTGTGTCTCCTCCAACTGTGCCCTCCCCTACTGTGCCTCCTCCAACTGTGCCCTCCCCTACTGTGCCACCTCCAACTGTGCTCTCTCCTACTGTGTCTCCTCCAACTGTGCCCTCTCCTACTGTGCCTCCCTCAACTGTGCCCTCTCCTACTGTGCCTCCTCCAACTGTGCCCTCTCCTACTGTGTTTCCTCCAACTGTGCCCTCTCCTACTGTGCCTCCCTCAACTGTGCCCTCTCCTAGTGTGCCTCCTCCAACTGTGCCCTCTCCTACTGTGTCTCCTCCAACTGTGCCCTCTCCTATTGTGCCTCCTCCAACTGTGCCCTCTCCTACTGTGCCTCCTCCAATTGTGCCCTCTCCTACTGTGCCTCCTCCAACTGTGCCCTCTCCTACTGTGCCTCCTCCAATTGTGCCCTCTCCTACTGTGCCTCCTCCAACTGTGCCCTCTCCTACTGTGTCTCCTCCAACTGTGCCCTCTCCTATTGTGCTTCCTCCAACTGTGCCCTCTCCTACTGTGTTTCCTCCAACTGTGCCCTCTCCTACTGTGCCTCCCTCAACTGTGCCTCCTCCAACTGTGCCCTCTCCTACTGTGCCTCCTCCAACTGTGCCCTCTCCTACTGTGCCTCCTCCAACTGTGCCCTCCCCTACTGTGTTTCCTCCAACTGTGCCCTCTCCTACTGTGCCTCCTCCAACTGTGCTCTCTCCTACTGTGCCTCCTCCAACTGTGTCCTCTCCTACTGTCTCCTCCAACTGTGACATCTACTGTGCCTCCAACTGTGCCCTCCCCTACTGTGCCACCTCCAACTGTGCCCTCCCCTACTGTGCCACCTCCAACTGTGCCCTCTCCTACTGTGCCTCCTCCAACTGTGCCCTCTCCTACAGTGTCTCCTCCAACTGTGCTCTCTCCTACTGTGTCTCCTCCTACTGTGCCTCCTCTAATTGTGCTCTCTCCTACTGTGCCTCCACCAACTGTGCCCTCTCCTACTGTGCCTCCTCCAACTGTGCCTCCTCCAACTGTGCCCTCTCCTACTGTGCATCCTCCAACTGTGCCCTCTCCTACTGTGCCACCTCCAACTGTGCCCTCCCCTACTGTGCCACCTCCAACTGTGCCCTCTCCTACTGTGCCTCCTCCAACTGTGCCCTCTCCTACTGTGCCTCCTCCAACTGTGCCCTCTCCTACTGTGCCTCCTCCAACTGTGCCCTCTCCTACTGTGTCTTCTCCAACTGTGCCCTCTCCTACTGTGTCTCCTCCAACTGTGCCCTCTCCTACTGTGCCTCCTCCAACTGTGCCCTCTCCTATTGTGCTTCCTCCAACTGTGCCCTCTCCTACTGTGTCTCCTCCAACTGTGCCCTCCCCTATTGTGCCACCTCCAACTGTGCCCTCCCCCTACTGTGCCACCTCCAACTGTGCCCTCTCCTACTGTGCCTCCTCCAACTGTGCCCTCTCCTACTGTGCCTCCTCCAACTGTGCCCTCCCCTACTGTGTTTCCTCCAACTGTGCCCTCTCCTACTGTGCCTCCTCCAACTGTGCCCTCTCCTACTGTGCCTTCTCCAACTGTGCCCTCTCCTACTGTGCCTCCTCCAACTGTGCCCTCCCCTACTGTGTTTCCTCCAACTGTGCCCTCTCCTACTGTGCCTCCTCCAACTGTGCCCTCTCCTACTGTGCCTCCTCCAACTGTGCCCTCTCCTACTGTACCTCCTCCAACTGTGCCCTCTCCTACTGTACCTCCTCCAACTGTGCCCTCTCCTACTGTGCCTCCTCCAACTGTGCCCTCTCCTACTGTACCTCCTCCAACTGTGCCCTCTCCTACTGTGCCTCCTCCAACTGTGCCCTCTCCTACTGTACCTCCTCCAACTGTGCCCTCTCCTACTGTGCCTCCTCCAACTGTGCCCTCTCCTACTGTGCCTCCTCCAACTGTGCCCTCTCCTACTGTACCTCCTCCAACTGTGCCCTCTCCTACTGTACCTCCTCCAACTGTGCCCTCTCCTACTGTGCCTCCTCCAACTGTGCCCTCTCCTACTGTGCCTCCTCCAACTGTGCCCTCTCCTACTGTACCTCCTCCAACTGTGCCCTCTCCTACTGTACCTCCTCCAACTGTGCCCTGTCCCTCTGCGCTTCGTGCAGCTGGGAGCCCACCTACCCTGCACAGAGTGAGCGCAGAGCATGATGACCTTGCACAGAGTCGGAGAGTCACTCCGACTCTTGAGACGACGAGAGTCAGGCGGGACAGTTTATTGTCTCTGTGAGGCTCCTGACCTTACTGACCCGACCTTCTTCCTGGTTCCTACTGCTGACCCGACCT